GACTATATTTATGAAACAAGCAACTAGAAGCATGAGCTTGAGATTACCATTAGAATTGTAATATAATTTTAAAATATAGTTTAGCACCATCTATATGGAAAGCCCATCTCTTAAAGTCTCATGCAAATAAACTAGCTCTTTGTATATTCAGAGAGTTCCTCACAGTTTTTTTTTCATAGTTTCAATCACCTCACATTTCTCAACTTTCTAGATGCTGACATCACAGACACGCAGTGTTCGTGAAGAGTTGATGTGACAGTTGCCTCTAAAAGCTGGAAAATCAGAAAAATAAAAGTAGTTTTTATTTCCTTTAAGGATGGGTTGGGAGGAGGATTGGAGTTAGAGTCGGAAAGACGGTTGGTGACAAAGCTGTTTATGATTTAAGGTCTCCTCTTTAGGCTCATCCTGGGTTTAGGGTTATTGTAAATCCAGAGCCTTATCTTCAGCTTCCCATGTTCAAGGGCACCACTTTAACAGGTCTTCTTGCGGGTGATTAATGTCTGCAGGACACCAGCAACACACCCTAGGAAAAAGTGCATTTGAGTGGGAAGACCTGTGTATAATTCCCACCCTTGTCATTACGAATTTGGACAAATTCCTCTTCTGTTTTTTTGTTTTTTTTTAAAAGACTAAAAATAATCCTTGTAGAGCTGCTATGAGGAATTAATGAAATAATGCACATGAAAACACCAATTTGGCTGGGTGCGGTGGCTCACACCTATAATCTCAGCACTTTTGGAGGCCAAGGTAGGAGGATGACTTGATCCCAGGAGTTCAAGACCAGCCTGGGCAACACAGTGAGACACTGTCTCAAATAAATAAATAAATAAATAAATAAATAAATAAATAAATAAATAAAACAAAAAGAAAGCAGCAACTATTGGTTATTAGTAGTATTCAGATTTTTTTTTTTTTTTTTTGGGATGGAGTCTCTGGAGTCTCCCTCTGTTTCCCAGGCTGGAGTGCAGAGGTGTGATCTTAGCTCACCACATGCTCTGCTTCCTGGGTTCAAGTAATTCTCTGCCTCAGCCACCTGAGTACCTGGGATTTCAGGGGCCTGTCACCATGCCCAGCTAATTTTTTTCATATTTTTAGTAGAGGTGGGGTTTCACCATCTTGACCAGGTTGGTCTTGAACGCCTGACCTCAGGTGATCCACCTGCCTCGGCCTCCCAAAGTGATGGGATTACAGGTGTGAGCCCCCATGCCTTGGACTATTAGTCATCAGATACAACTTTATTTACCTAGGGAACACCTACCTTTTAAATGACAGGGATGTGTCAGTTGTTCAAGGCACTCCCATTCTTATTTATTTTTATTTGATTGATTGATTAAAAAAAAAAAAAACAGAGACAAGGTCTCACCATGTTGCCCAGGCTGATCTTGAACTCTTGGACTCATGCAATCCTCCTGCCTTGGCCTTTCAGAGTGCTAGAATTACAGGTGTGAGCTACCTCATCTGGTCTGGCACCCCCATTCATGTAACTAATATATCTGTCAAACCAACTTAGTTATTGGAGGGCTGCCTGAAGGGTAGAGAGTTACATGGTGATCTTGAAGAATGGTATCTTATAGCTACTACTTATTGAGCATCTAGTCCAGGCCAGTTTCTTTGGTAGGCCATTATACGTGAGCGCTAATCCTTAAACCATCCATACAAAGTAGATATTATTGTCTTCAGTGTACTCATGAGGAAAACGAGGCTTAGTGACCCAAAGACATTAAGTTGCCCTAGAAAAAAACAAATTCTTCTTGTCTGCTCCATGAAGCTCATTCTTGTTGTAATGAATTAGATTATAACATATCTTTGACTGGCTACGTTTTCCTCTCCTAAAATAGATTTGGGATATGACCCAGTGCTCTGATGAGATCTGGGACACACATTTGCAAATTGTCATTGGTGGGTCATTAAAAAAAAAGTCTTAGAAGTTCTAGGCCTTTTTTGGGAGTTTGGCCCATTACCCCCTTCCCTATAGACATGTTCCCCTCTCCCATTACATGTCATTAATTTAAACCAGAACTTACGAATGAAGAAAGAAGTCACTACAAATTACTGGTGGTCTGGAAGCGGATGTGGGACAATTCCCATATAAATATTTTAAGCAAGTGTTCCCTTGCTGAGGCATCTGATTCTTTTTATTTTTTGTTAACCAAGACCCAAATGTGCTGTCAATGGCTCTTACTTATACAAGCTACTTATAAAATACTTGTTCCTTGATTTTCTTATGGGGAGAAAGTGAAGATACAAATAACAATTACATATGAGATTGTGTTCAGTTCAACTGGACAAACTTTTATAATGTACCTAGTAAACTTAGGGGTTGTGCTAGATTCTATAAATAAAAGCATTTGATTGGGCATGGTGGCTCAAGCCTATAATCCCAGCAGTATGGGAGGCCGAGGCAGGTGGATCACTTGAGGTGAGGAGTTTGAGACCAGCTTGGCCAACACGGTGAAACCCTGTCTCTATTAGAAAAATATATATATATATATATATACATATATAAATTAGCTGGTGTGGTGGCAGGCACCTGTAATCCCAGCTACTTAGGAGGCCGATGCAGGAGAATCTCTTGAACCCAGGAAGTAGAGATCAGCCTCAGTGACAGAGTGAGACCCTGTCTTAAAGAAAATAACATAAAATAAAAACATTTATAAACTCTGAAAAGCAATACCGTATACATACAAGGTATTATTTATTTATTAGAGATGGGGTCTCTCTATGTTGCCCAGGCTGAATTTGTGCTCTGAGCTCCTGCCTCAGTCTCCTGTGTAGCTAGGACTACAGGCATGTGCCACCGTGCCTGGCTAAGTTATGACTTTTGACTTAAAATAGATCATATAAAAGTTATAACAATAATAATTCCTTATATTTTCTCAAAATTAGTAAATGTTAATTTACTTATTTTAGTAAATATTAATTTACTAATTTTCATATATGAGATATTGAAGCTCAGATAGGTTAAATGGTTATATTCTCTGCTACTCGGCACTGCTTTTCCAGGAAACTATACAGCAGGGATTCCATCTTATTCATCTGAGAGGAATATCTTACATCTCATATGGTTTGGAGGAGTCCCCTTGAATAAGCAAGTGAAATTGTACTTCCAAAAGCAATTTATTTCATGATTTTCAGATTTTATAATTTGTGTGGCTACAACTTTAGGCACTTTCGTATTTGTTATCTCATTAATCCTCACAATAACCCTAAGGGCATACAACTAGTGAATGGGAGAGCCAGGACTGGAACCTGGACATTCCTAATGTCTGAGCCCTGTGTATTTCACTATACTAAGCTGCTTTGGCTATTAGCTGTATAACCTTGGGCAAATCACTTAGCCTCTGTGACCCTGCATTACCTCATTTGTAAAGTGAGTATGATGATTACTTCCTTTTAGAGTTGTGAAACTCAAATATGCTAATGCAAAGTAGAAAACACCAGTAGAAACATTAGTTATATGTGGTTATGGCTGATAAATGTACCGAAGCGAAGTAATGATTAACAGCAAAAAAAGAAGCCAAAGAAGATGCTCTTGAATAAGTGGTTGCTCACCAGACCTATATGGCTTGCTCTTGTTAGCTGGTGTTTGCCAGAAGGGGTCTGAGTAGAATTAGGAGTTCCTGCAGAAATTTCTAGAATGATTTGCCTGGGGTGGCAATAGTCTAAAAACTTAGGTGGGGCTAACTCCATCCTGGGTCTTGTTCAGTTGTCTCTCCTACCATAGGGACTGCTATGATAATGATAATGGGTGTGGGCCTGACAGAGTTGCGGTTTTTTGTCATGGGAAGCCACCACGACTGAGAAATTAAGACCAATTTGGGTAAATACATTTATTGATGCCTCTGTCTAAACTGTGAGGTAGATATAGTAGTGAATCAGCCCCTTGTCCTCAAGGATTTTACAGTGCAGTGAGGTGCAGACAAGCCCTCAACTAACGCTTACAAATAAGGCAGAGCAAAAAAAAAAGGTCATATCAGAACGACTTAGAGGTTGGGGGTATGGAGTTCCTAGAAGGCTTCTTGAAGTAGGTGGTATATATGCTGAGGCTTTGAAGATGAGAATTTCAAGTAACTGGGTATTCCAACTGAAGGTTGGCAGCATCTGAAGGTGTAGGATGTGTTATGTTTAGCATAGGCAGGAAGGAAGGCTTTATTGAGCACGTGCTGTAATTCCAGGGTCTGACAATAGAGAAATATATTGAAAACAGACCTTGCCATCGAGGAGCTCTTAATCTAGAGGGGTAGATAGGTGTAAACTGTCATTAGGGTGGTGACTTCACAAAGTAGAGAAGAAAGGTTATAAAGGAGAGTGTGTAAGTAACTCTGACATGAGAAGGAGAGAAGATACTTTGCAAAGTAGGTGATACTTGAATTGTGTCCTGAGAAAGAAGGAGGAGTCTGCCAAGGGGACGATGGGAGGAGCTAGAGGCACCAGCGTTCCCTTGTTAAACAATCTAAGTGTGACAGGGACCAGGCAAATAGCTTTGCAAATGGATTTTGGCTGTGGGAGGGAATTACTTAATGTCTTCTTTTCTAATATACTAGCGGATGGTTAAATCTAATACTAGGATTCTAATCCAGCTATATAATTAGCCGTATGACCTTAGTAAGAAACTTATTTGTTTCAGTTCCTTGAATACAATTCAAAAAAATAAGAGTCTAGTACAGAGCCTGGCATATATAAAGTGCCATTATTTTCTATCATTATCTCATTTAGCCCTGGTAAGCAACTTGGGCTCTGGCTAAAATTTCCCCCATTTTTCAGAAGCAGGAGCTCAGCGTAGGTAGGTGAAGTTCACAGGGCAATCTGGAGTCGCCTCCGCAGCCCGTCCGCTTTACTCTTATATCCGCGCCGGGTTTTCCCAGGCGGACCCGGGGGCAGGCTCTGGTCCGGCAGCTCTTGATTCCGGCGCCAGGGTTTGGGCGGCGCCGCGGCCAGCTCCGGCGGGCGGGCAGGCGGGGCGGGGGCAGGCGGGGCGGGGCCACGCGGGGCGGGGCGGGCGTGAGGAGGGAAGTTGTGGAAGTTAGGGGAGACGCCCGCCCGCCGGCCCGGGCCTCGCCTACAGCCGCTCCCCCCGCCTCCTCTCCTCCCCGCCCCGAGCCCTCGTCTGCCCGTCCTTCCTTCCCCTCCCTTGCATGATGGAAACACCATGGCTGCGGCGGCCCAGCTCTCTCTGACACAGGTAACGCCGCCCGCCTGTCCCCCGGGCTTGGCCGGCCGGTACCCCCTCCCCCATCGCCCTCAGCTTAGCGGACCCGGGCAGCCTCTCGGCTCGCGGGCCTGGCGACCGGCGTGTGTGAGCGAGAGCGGGTGCGACTGCGGGAGGGCGCCCTCCCGAGCTGGAGCCCCGTCGGGGCCGCTGCGACCTCGCCCCGGGTGGTCGGACGCCCCCTACCCCGCCCCCCCCCGGCCTCCGTCGCCCACTCCGGCCGCCGTTTGCTCCGCCACCGAGCGGACTGTCACCCGGCTCTGCCCCGCCGGTGCCGGGCCGGCTCGCGCGGGGCGGCTTTCACTCACCCAGGAAGTTTTTTCCCTCCGGGCCGCACGCACCCCAGGTGAGCTCTTGTTGAGCTCGCGCGGGCCGGCCGCACCCCCGGGCCGCACGAGGCTCGCTCGCTGGGCCGGCAGCGCGCCGCCCCCCGTGGGAGTTGCCTTCCAGAGCCGGACGCGCAGGCCCCCCAAGTCAGTCTTTCCTCTCCAGACCTGCCTTTCTCCCGGAATCCGACGAAAGCCCTTCCTTCCCAGCAGTTTAATGTAGTTATTAGCCTCGCCTCCAAAGAAGTCCCATCCTACCCAACTGCCAGCCCCTTCCTCAGTTCAGCCTCTCGTCATCCTGATCAGGTTTCCTTCTGGGTCAGACCCCCTATGCAGCCTTTTCCCACCCACGTCTGCTTCCACTTCCACTTCCCCTCGAGAGGCGCCCGCCTGATCGCCGTGCAGGTGGATGCCCTTAACGGGTGTGGTGGCTCCGCCAGTCTTGGTGTCAGGAACGGCCGCCCGGGGAGCACTTGTCTTGAGGGAATCCTCAGCAAAACTTGTTCTCGAGCTTCCCTCTTGCTTCGTTGCTTCCTGTCAGAGTCCAGTCCTCGTGCTTCTCAGAAAACCTCTAAACATTACTCACACTGGGAACCTGGTCCCTCCCTCTCTGCAAAGAAGCCAATTACAATGTAAACATGGTGTCCGGGATGATAAGGTGACAGACACCTGCCAGTCCCTTCCTGCTCCTCTGACCCAACTCCCCCCAGGTCTCCTCAGTCGGTTCTCTGCAGAGGTGGTGGCGCCTGCTTCCCGATTGGGGGGCCACCCGGTCCTCCTTGCCTGCCTTGTGGTATCTCCCTGCCATCTTGTACTCTCCTTGGCCTAGATTCGTCGGTGCTTCTAAGGCTTTAGCGCTGGGATAGGGCAAACATTTGGGCACTAGAGTTTTCTGTGTTTAAGATCAAGAGGCTTCGAGGTGCTTTGCCTAGCACTGTAGGAGAGAGAGACAGAGAAAAATGTCTTCTCAGAAACCGGGAGTCATGTACATGCTTCATGTAAAATAACTAATCGTGTTTGCAGGAATTCTAAGTGTCATAAGGGAAGTCTGTTTCCCGGTTTATTTGGTAGTGGTGTTTGTCCTGTTCTGACAAGCAGATAACAGCGAGGAAGAACCCTTTAAAATGGAATGTGGTGGTTTAGTCTTGGTTATGTATCTTTGGAAGGGCCCTCCCAAAACTCAAATTTGAGCGACAACAGCACTGACTTTTTTAGGTATTCACTTTTTGTGAGTCTAGTTAATGACTTGCATTAAACAAGATCCCTGTTGGTGGGCTGTTGTTTTCTGGCTATGTTGGCCAGTTCTGGCAGGAGTTTTCCCTTCTTGAAGATTTTGTGCTCTTGAAGACCGGCGTAAAATTGCTTCTCAGTTGTGTGCATACTTTATTATCTCCCTGGGTAATACCGTGTTATTAACTTCTATTTACTATCATTTATCTCTGGAGAATTGCTTCTGGCTCTGTCAGTTTTATAGTCATTTAAAAAATTTACATATGTTCTTGTGTTATATAGGTATTAATGTGTACACAGTAAGTACTGAATCAGTGATAGCTATTATCCTTCAGTGCCTCACATATGTGAGAATATACGTTGTTGGTCAATTTTTATTGAGAACTCAAATAAGTAAATTCAGAATATTCTGATTTTAAAACATGAAGAGATAGTAGGAGGGATTGTGAAGGCAGAGGAAGAAAACATTTCCAGTTGCTGGTATACCCTAACGTGCCTCCTTACTTCAAAACTTAGCAGATTTGTGATTTTTAAATTTAATTTTTTAAAACTGCTTGAGCCCAATTCACTAACAGTGCAGCCTGGTTTCAGATTCATTATTGATCCGTTTGTCATCCCCTGTTTTCCCCATCCTTCCTATCCTCCCAGCACACATGTTTAGACAGAGGCATACTCAAGTGAGAGATCATTCAGGCCAGGGACATCTTTTAATCCATCTTTCTTCCATAGTATCTATCTGGAAGAAAGCAATTAATAACTGTTATAGGTATGACAGAAGGCTCTAAAGGATTCTATGACAGTTATGGAGATTAAACATGCTGAAGTTAGTTTCTGCTTCTGTTCATATGATGGTTTTCATTTAGCAAATATTTTTAAAGTACCTATAATGTGCTAGACACTGTACTGGGATTATCTTGTTTATAATTTCTTGCCTTTACCAATTAAGCAAAACAGAGTTTGGGGAAAAAATGTGAAAAATATTTTAGTGGCTGGGCGCGGTGGGTCATGCCTGTAATCCCCAGCACTTTGGAAGGCCAAGGTGGGTGGATCACGAGGTCAGGAGTTCAAAACCAGCCTGGCCAAGATGGTGAAACCCTGTCTCTACTGAAAATACAAAAAATTAGCCAGGCTTCGTGGCGGGCGCCTGTAATCCCAGCTACTTGGGAGGCTGAGGCAGAGAACTGCTTGAACCTGGGAGGTGGAGGGTGCAGTGAGCCATATTGCGCCACAGCGCTACAGCCTGGGTGACAGAGCAAGACTCCGTCTGAAAAAAAAAAAGAAAGAAGAAAAGAAAAATGTAGCTTATGCCTACCTTCCTTTTTCCAAGCTTGGCAACCAACCCTTCAGCTCCCCAGCCACCAAAAGAAATTATCTAAATTATTATACTGTAGCTTCTAGAGATGATAGAATACTAGAGTACCAAAATGTTATTTCCAGTTCTGCTTTGGCAACAGCTAACTGTATGGTTTTGGTTTAAATACCCAGGCCTCAGTTTTCTTAACTTTAAAATTAACTCAACAGTTATTTGCTGAGCATTCACTATGTGCTAGGAATTAACGTACTCATGAACAAAAATAGTTAACAATTCTTTGAACTTGGAGACAAAACATTTAACTTATTTCTACTAGAATTTGCAGATCTAAGGACCTTTCCAACTATTAACATCCTGTTTTATAGACAGTGTTCTATGATTTGTAGACCTAGTGGATTTTCTCTGGGTACTTTAGTGCTTTACAACCTTAATGTTTTCTAATTTAGTTGTCTTTACTAGATGTTCTGTTTACTTTTTGTCAATGAGAAATAAAACCTGAGTGAGAAAGATCTTGACTTTTGCTTATGGTGGTAGATTAGAAAAAAAGCATGTAATACTTGAGAAAAAACTTTTACAATAGTCAATTTTCCCTCCTAATGCCCATGTCCGTAATAATACAATAATACTGTTAACTTCCCTTTGGGTATTACTGTATGCCAGGAATTTCACTACACTTAGAATCTAGGCCAGGCATGGTGGCTCTCGCGTGTAATCCCAGCACTTTGTGAGGCTGAGGCAGGCGGATCACCTGAGGTCGGGAGTTCAAGACCAGCCTGACCAACATGGTGAAACCCCTATCTCTTAAAAAAAAAAAAATTATATATTTTACAAATTAGAGAAGCTACTAAGCAAACTGGTAAGTAGTGGATCTAAGATTTGAACCAAGGTCTGTAGGACTTCAAAAGCTGTCCGTTTCACTGTACTTCTCTATGTACTATATACGCTTGGCATATCCAACACTCCCTTGCATTTTTTATTTTAGTTTTTTCCATTTATGCCATTGTCTTAAGCAGTGAGCCTCTTGATATAAGCCATGGTTTTTGCCTTGAGTCTCTAATGCCTTTGATAGTATCTTGATGATACAATTGTGTGTTTACAGTACTATTGGGATAAAGGTTTTATTTTACTGAGATATGACTTGAATATTTAAAATAGTCTTTTAGCAATTCAGCTTTATACTGAAGCTTTCTTGCTTTTGTTTTTGCTTTTGTTTAGCAAGTTTTTTTTTTTTTTTGAGACAGGATCACACTGTCACTCAGGCTGGAGTACAGTGGCATGATCAGGCTCACTGCAGCCTCAACCTGTGGGCTCAAGGGATCCTCCCATTTCAGACTTCTGAGTAGCTGGGACTACAGACATGCATCGCCATGCCCAGTCAATTAAAAAAGTTTTTTTTGTAGAGACAAGGGTCTCACTATATTGCCAGATTCTTACTTTTTTTGTGTGATAAAAAAGCCCTTAAGTAGGGACTTTATTTTTAAAATCCTAATATATAAATGATATAAAAATACTTTACAAGAGTGACATAACTGTATTACAGAAAACTTGGATATTAAAGGAAAACATCTCCCATAATTTCACAGTGTGTAGTGTTTATTTTCAGTTTCATTTTTTAAACAAGTAGACTGTGTGCTAATAAACATATCATCTTGGTAGTCTGATTTAACAATTATGACAGTAAATACAGGTTAGTTTGAAAATTACAACATATTCTCAGAAGCAGAAAAGTGATACTGTTCTCAACATGACAGATATTTGAGGAAATATTGATATTTCCTACAATGGGAAAGGCACGTTAATGATGTTTTTCTTTTTTGCCTGTGATTATGGCTCAATATACTCAGGAAATCTGTTCTTCCTTGAGAGGTATCTAATCATTCTCAAAGATGTCTTGCAATGTTCGGCACTTGGGAGAGGTCCTCATAGTTAAAATTAATTAGAAACAGTTGGGTTCATCTAACAGTGGATCTCTCAGGAATAATCTAAGAGTGCATTCCTTTGTTTTCACTCTGTTTGCAGACAGGATGCCAGTAACAGACTAATGTGTAGTAGAAAAAGATTGAGCATCATTAGCAATGAATCATGCAATCTCTGATTAGAATCTC